GAGTCTCTTCTTAAAAACCTCCAGGGATGGAGCGTCCACGACTTCTGGAGGCAAGTCGTTCCAACGATTTAATTGTTCCCATGCCAATTCCTTAGTTCTAAGTTGCTTCTCTCCTGGATTCTAGTCCTGCCTTCAGGTGCTTTGGAACAGGATGAACCTTCACTTCATGGCAGCCCTTCAAATATTGGAAGATGCCATCATGTGCCCCCCTGGTCCTTTTCTCCAATTTCTGTTTTAGCCTCCTAATCATCTTTATTGCTGCCTTCTGCACTCTTTGCAGTGTCTCAACAGCATAGAATTTTGCTGGTCTACTAATTCAGTCACTTCGTCAAAGAATGAAATAAGATGCGCTCGGCGTGATCGGTTTTTAACAAACCTGGGCTGGCTACTAGTTATAACTTTCTATTTATAGGAGCATTAATGACCACTGCTGAAAAAGGTTCCTCTTCCAAGCGATGCGGATGCTGACATCCTCCAGCGCCCTTCCGATGCCTCCTCTTAGGCCCCCCAAGTAAATTCACCATCCAAATTTACGCAATTCAGGCCCACGTTATGACACAACACCAGAGTGGAATGTAGGTTTTATTTTAATTACTATTGCTTCAGACAAAATAACACTTTATACAAACAAGTCGGCTAGATTACTGCAGATCAAGGAGATATAAAAATGATAGCATGATGGAGACGATACAATGAAGGAAATCACTTGGGGGGGAGAAGGGGGGGGGACTTTTGAAACGTCTGCCGTTCTCTATGGAAAAATACCGGCAGAAAATTAGAAAAACTAGGAACCGTCTCCTGTGCATTTCACACGTGCCACACAAGGTTGTGTGGGGAGGGAGAGCTCCTTGCATGGAGTGCCAATGGCCAATTCAAAGCCACACTATCGGGGCGGGGGGGGGGGCTGCTTTTGGCCACAGTGCTCAATCTTCTCCCGCCCTTGGGAAATTCACTGCACTGTTGCACTAAATGCCCACCTCATAAGATCATGGCATACAGAATTCCAGAACTCCCGTAGCGTGGGAAATGCAATTCCCAGTCCCTGAGCCTGTGTGTCAGTTCGCCTAACTGGAAACGGTTAGAGGGGTGTGTGTGTGTGTGTGAGCATTTGACCCACACACAGAAGTCACGGCCAAACGGCTGCTCCTCAGCAGTACTCGGGTGGGACATGCTCCGGACAGGATGACTACCAGTGGCTACAAAGGTGGCCACATCTGCTGCCCATTGCTGGGAGCTGGTCTCCCCACAGCCGGTCTTCCCTTTCAAAGGTGGGGGAGGGGGGAGAGTCTATAGGGGAGCCCCCTTTTTGCTTTTTCCATGAGCTAGAAAGGAGGAAACGCACCACCTCAATTTCAGGCCCCCTTTCCAGCCCTGGGGCAGGTTGAGAAGCCCCCTGCTGACCCCAGGCCCCCTCCCAAAAGGGAGGCCTGGATTTCTAATCACACGCTGCTTTGGAAGGGCAGCCCCACTCTTTGCGTGGCAGAAACACAAACTGACCCCTGCATGCCCAGCAAGAGTGGCCGAAATGTGGCCCTTGCAGAGCAGGAGAGAGGCAGCTCCGGGAGAGGGTGGGAGGGAGGTGCAAGGGCAGGTCCCCAACGGACGCCATTCCCTCGTCCCCAGGGAGGCACCCCATTTTTCCCCACACACGTACCCCGTTCCCCTCGTATTGCTGGGCAGTCAGTGGCCAGGAAGGCACAGAGGGAAGGTTATTGCGAACGGCCCCTGCTTTGGGGTCAGCCCAACCGAGGCTTCCAGGTCAGACAGAGGGCAGTTCCAAAGGCACCTGGTTTTAACCGTGAGGGGTCGGGGGGGGGGGGGGGGGGAGAGCCCTTGGAGAAAAAAGGCACTTTGCCAGAGAGAGCCAGGGAAGCGTCGACCCACCACTCTCACCACCAGCCCTTCCCCAGACCACCCCGAGAACCGACCCCTTCCCCCCTCCAAAAGAGAAAACCGTCCTGCACCCGAAGCTCTTTTGTTGGGGGCAGCTAACCCTCCCCCCAACTAAGAGGCTTAAGCGTTGCTCTTTTAGACTACCCCATTGCCCCCGGGAGCCCCCCCCCTTTGACACTGACTGCCATGGGGTGCCCCACATCCCTCCTGCCAAAGCAGCGTCTACAGGGAGGGCAGCCAGAGGGCCAAGCCAGTCCTCACCTGCAGCCTTTGCCTTCTGCCCGGCAATCTCGAGGGGTGGGGAAGGGAGGGGAAAAATTAGGATGGCCCCCACCTCCCCGGTGAGAGCTGCTAGGTAGGAGAAGCCAGGAGGGCCCCACGCATCTTTACCACGCAGGCCAGACCTTGAGGGGTTGCGGTTGCTTGAACAGGCCCAGAATGAAATGCTGCAAAGTTCCGCCCTCCCCAGGAGCCCCTCCAGGCCCCTCCGACCCCAAAGACAGAGGGACAGCCCTGACAAACATCAGCTCAGGTGCAAAGCAGGCCAGGAGGCGGGAGGAGGAGCAACGGACACCTGCCCAGCTCTCTGGGCTGCGGGATGCGTTAGGAAGGGGATGCCTGCCAAGCTTGGTCCATTGGAGGGGCCGCTGGCGGGCTTGTCACCAGACCAGGATGCCAACGGAAGCCACGATGGAGCAAGGAATGAGCGGCCCAGAGGATTCCTTTACTGTCCCAGAAGAGGCCCCTCCCGCTTGGCAAGGAGGAGCAAGGCCGGGCTGCCTCTGGCCTGCGCAACATCCGCAGGCGGTGCTGGAATGGCTACTGCCCGCCGTTGTAGGCGTAATCGGCCTTGTTGTGCATGATCAGCTTGTTGTCCACAAAGTAGAAGCTGTCTGAGCGAGTCTCGTAGGGGTTCTCGACCATCAAGCGTACTGCAGGGGCAAGAGAGAGGGAGGAGGGCAGCCACAGCCCAGAAACAGCCGGCGGAGAAGGCCGCTGGTGCCAACCCTGCAGTGCAGGCAGCGCCCGCTCCACAAAGCAGCCTGAAAAACCCTGGGGAGGAGGGAGCAGCGAGAGAATCTGCGGGATTCAGAGAAAATTTAAAGCAAGACCGCTTATCTTCTGTCTCCCTCAAGACTTTGGCCGTGGGGCCAGTGACGGCACCCAAGGGCAGAATTTTCTGACTGCCACAGAAGCTCCCAGGCTGAAGCCAGCCGTCAGTCCCTGCTTGGGCCACGGGATCCACCTGGGTCCAAGCCTCCCACCCAGGGGCTGTTCACCCGGCCAGGCACAAGAGGCACTTACTGAGGTCCTCGGAAAGCTGAGGAAACTCGTAGATGTGCTCACAGGTGTTCCTGCTGCAGGGGATGCAGAAGCCAAAGTCAAAGTCAAAGTTCTTCAGGAGACGGTCTCTGAAGTAGTGCCTCTCGATCATGCGGAAGTTGGAGACGGGCTTGTCTCCCACGGTGAACTCCACCCTGCAGGGAGAGAAAAGGGGCGAGGTGAACGCAGGGCAGCGCTGGAGTCCTGCCCTAGAGGGGCCCTCAAGCTGCTGAAGGGCCCAGCTGTCCCGTGGCAGGATCCCTGCCTGCATCACGACCCGTATTTTCCCCCGGGTTGTAAAAGAAAGGCTGGCCTGGGAAGGGGATGCCCAGGGACATCAAGTGCGGTGCAACTCAGGACTCAAATTAGGGGAAAGAACAATAAGGAAAAAGAACAAACACAGCAGACCTGCCTCAAGCAACATTCTTCTTTTGATTTGTACAAACTGCAAAATTACAGGCTTGGATTTTGAAGATTTTCTCTTCTTTCTTTCTTTCTTTCTTTCTTTCTTTCTTTCTTTCTTTCTTTCTTTCTTTTCTCTCTCTCTCTCTCTCTCTCTCTCTCTCTCTCTCTCTCTCTCTTTCCTTCCTTCCTTCTCTTTTAGAAGTGCTGAACTTGCTTTTCACCCAGCCTGACTGTGCTTCTGTGGCTGGTGGTGAGCAGCCCCCAGCCGCCCTGTGTGGTCCCGCCCCCCTCATCCCCTCAGCCCCTGCCCAGACTCACGTTGCCCCAACGGTCCGTAGGCGCAGGAAGGCCGGAGTGAACTGATAGCGAACGAAGCGTCCGGCGCTGCTGTCCACCTCCCCAAGGTCACACTCGTAGTCCTCTTGCTCTGCAGGGATTAACGGTTAAAGAAAATTCAGCAGGGGTTTCTCACTGGCCTGCCCTTCTGGAAGTGGGGCCACTCCAGGAAGGCCCCGCAGCCGTCGCCTGCCCTTCCAGGTCTCAGCCTTCTGGGGCTGCCTCTGCAATACGGCCAAAATCAAGGTCAGCAGCAGGAACTGCGGAACTAGCAACCGAGGCAGCCTTGCTGGACTGAGCTAACAAAGCTAAACGTGGCTTGGCTTAGGTGGGTGAAGTGTTGGGACAGAAGTCTTTGTGGGCACCTGGAATAATGGATGGAACCCAGAAAGGTCTGAAGGAAACAAATCGTCCCAAGAGCGATGACAGAGGAAGAGGAAGCACAGATTTAGGGACTGTGAGACCAGCGTCTTAACTACCATTAGGAAGCAAAACGCCCTTCCTGGAATTTTTAACGAGTTGGGTCTTGCAATTCAGAACGGGACCCCATTACTTTACACCCAAAGTAACTTACCTAAAGTTGAAGGTTTGGCAATTTCAAACAGCACCGTCCCAGTCTCCAGGTCCCGGATTTTAAACTTGGTGAAGTCGATATTGTAGATGTTGTCTTCGGGTCGGCAAAGGTAATCTGGAAGAGAGGAAAACAGAAGGGATGATGAAAGGCAACCTCGAAAATTCGGGAGGCAATGGAGAGGCTGCCTGGACCAACTCACCAAAAGGGCCTTTGCATTCAGGGCAAGGAAGCGAGCAGTGGACAATACTAGGAAGTCTCTCCCAAGACTCCTGACAAATTATGCGGCCAAGAGAGGCACCCGGTTAAAGGAGAAGAATCAGTGGAAGGATGTAAGACAGAGAGAGACGCAAGCATCACGGCAGGGATTCTACACCCCCCCAAAAAAACCCTCTGGATTTAGAACGGAGCAACATAATTATCAAGCTCCCTAATGGCACCAAATTATTATTATTCAGCCAAGACAGGAGAAATGTAAAAGAACAGTTACAACTGGTCAAGAGGTGATTAACACAAGCACTCTACCTAAATCTAAGTAAGTGCAACCTAGCTCATGCCAGAACCAAAAAGACCTAATTTTAAGTACAAAGAATTATAGATCATAATCTACTTTGACTTTCTTTTCCGTCATCTTGTATTACAATGTGGAAGGAGAAAGAGGGAGGTAAACGGAGGATGTGTAAGCCAAACTCGTTACACAAAAATCAGGGAAAACACGTTTATACTTTGTGACTTTACAAAGACCACCAGCCCTACATACCAGCTAAATCTGCTCTCTACTAGTTAGATTTATGATCCTCGGTTTAATGACCATTTGAAGTTGCAATAGATCTGAAAAATTGAGTTGCGACTGGTCCTTGCATTTATGACTGTTGAAGTGTCTCCATGGTTGTAATTGTGTGATTCACTTAATGGCCATGACAAAGATAGATAATAAAATCAGGGACAGCTCACTTAACAATTGATGTCCCTGTGGTTCTTGTTAACTGACATAGTCATTGGATCCTTCCTAAACAGCAGCTACTGCTTAGGAAGGATCCAGTGAATATCTGTTCTTTCTTCTCCAATTTTACATTTATTTCCTCTTCCTTGTAGCACCCCTTCAAATGTTGGCAATCCAGATTGACATACAGAATCAGGGAGTCTTTGTGCAGCTGTCTACCTGCGTGTTGAGGGCACGCGTACATCAACCAGCAATTACTATTCGTGTCAATAATGCCAAGATCAAAAATAGTATGAATCCCAGATAGGCCACAAGCATGAAAGGGACGTAGACCTGTGGCAACGACTTCTTAAAGGTTTACGGTTTCAACATGTGCCAGAAAAAAGATACAAGTGCAGCGGCCAAGGCTTCTGCTTCAAAGCCTGAGGAGTTGGTTGTCCCCAGGTTGTGTCTTGGCACACTGTCTTCCATGATCTTGTTGAGGTGCCTTTTCGATTTCTGCGAACGCTACACAGAGGTTGTATACAGAGTCAAGCAGTCCCTCCCACTAAGTCGAAAGAGCAATGCAGATGCTGCTTCCAATGCCCTGACGCGATGAATGGTTGGGTTATGTTCATTCAGCCATCTTGGTTCATGCCACAGGTTGTAGCACCCCTCGAATACGAGAGTCTCTCTGAGGAAGCAGACTGAAAGAGCAAGATGGAGGCGCCAGTGGCATTCCGTGCCATGCAGAGCAACACCTGTGCCATACCATAAACCACCTTTCTCTTGAGGGATTTGAAAAACTTTGTTTTGGATGTGCACAAGGAGTCCAAAGATGATATTTGAAGATGACAACTCTTGGCAAGGCAGACTTTGATGCCACTGTGTTGGATGACCCAACTACATATTAGTTGTGCCCCCGATTAGTGGCAAGCTAATCTACCTTGAATCTGATGGGAACAAATGCAACAGTGTATTGACTGAAGGAACTTTTGCCCCTTCCCCACTTCAGAGCTCAACTATTTTGGGCTCCTTACGAGTTGCCAAAATGGACCCAGGAACAAGCAGCAAAATGAAACAAAACACATTGCCTTTGGTGTAACTCTAAGCAAAGAAAAAGAGACACTGCCCAAAGCTGCAAGGGATCCCACTGAAGTTACTGTCAACTTCGAAACGGATCTGGGCTGCTGCAGCCATCTTTTCATTTCTCAGCTTGCCACCCTATGTATGGGGGGAGGGAAAACTTGGAATGTCAGACCAGACGAAAACAACCGATCCTCCCGGGGGAACCAAGGTCATCTCAACAGGTGTTGGTCAGAGACTGGGAAGGTTACCAGGGAGACGCCAAAACACCTAATTGGACAATGTGGCCTGTGACATGGGGAGAAGGGAATATCTATTCTTTAATTATACTAAACCAGTGGGAAATAGAGTTGGTTTGGCTTTCATGTGTGCGGAAATGGTGTACACCATTGAGTTGAGAAAGCTGACCGTCTGGGAGTGCTGAATTGCGTTGGTTCCCCAGTCGGATCCTTGACACTCCTGTCACCAACACTCTGGAACTGACAAGTTTGGGCTAACACAACAGACTGCCTACAGCAGGGGTCTCCAACCTTGGTCACCTGGCGGACTCCCAGTTTTGCTGGTTGAGGAACTCTGGGACTTGAAGTCCACAAGCCTTAAAGCGGCCAAGGTTGGAGACCCCTGGCTTGAAGGATGCTGCCCAGGGGCCCTGATTGAAATGGAATTGCTCCAATAAGCGAGAGCAGCTTGATGCCCAAGCCAAGGGCTCCGTCCCTCGGGGATGCTTCAGTTTGGAATCCCAATGGGCCCGAATAGATGGTCTTTAAGCACTCTTCAAGCACCAGGGCTGGATTCCTCCAAGGCCCCCAGGCTGCGGCTGGTGAGCCGCAGACATTGAAGTCCAGACGCGGAGAAAGCAAGGGAGCCAAGGACCAGCAAGTAGGAGCTGAAGAAAGTGCACTCTGCACATGCGCAGGGGTCAGCAGTAATAGTGGTTGTTTATTACGTTCTAATTTCTAAGCAAAGTACAGACACAAAGGTCGACGACCCCACATCCTAAAGTTGCCAAGTCGGAAAAAACAGTGCTTTGAACATTAAATTTTACTTATTTTAAAGAAACACCCACCACGGCTTTTTAAGATTTAATGGCAATGCTTGCGAATAAACCCAGGTGGGCTAAACAGCCGCTACATCGTCACAGGAGGCAATGAGTTGAAGTCCACCAGGCTTACAGCTGCCAAGGTTGGAGACCCCTGGCCTACATGGGGAGGAGGACAAGGGGAGCTGGAACAGAGCTGAAGCTGAGCAAGGTCCAGCTGAAGCGGATGACCAGCAGCCGCCTCCCACTACTAACCTTAGTTAAGATGCCCGGTGGGCACCCTGACGGGGGCTGCTGAAGCTGGCATTGCCCGGGTCATGCAGGGACAAGCCAGCCAAATCCATCTCAAGCGAAGCCCCCTGTGATGAGTCTGACTCCCAGCTGCCAGGGACCCTCCCTCTGAGGAGGGGCTCCCTCCCACCGTGGCAACTTTTCAGAAGGCTTCCCCAGGGAACTCTGGGAGTTGAAGTCCACGGGGGGGGGGGGGGGGG